GAACTCAGTACAATACAGATATCAATTTTTCCCACTCTGATCTATAGATTCAAAGTAACCTCAATTAAAACCCCAAGAGAGGGCTGGGCACAGTGGCTTACACCTGTAATCCCAGTACTTTGGAAGGCCAAGGCGGGCAGATCACCCTGACTGAGAACAGGTGTTCGAGACCCGCCTGACCGACATGGTGAAATGCCATATCTACTAAAAATACAAAAAACAGCCAGGCATGGTGGTGGGTGCCTGTAATCCCAGCTACTCCGGGGGCTGAGGCAGGAGAATGGCCCGAACCTGGGAGGTGGAGGTTGCAGTGCGCCAAGATTGTGCCACTCCTGCTGGGCGACAGAGCAAGACTGTCAAAAAAAAAAAAAAACAACAACCAACAACAATAGAGTTTATTTTGGGGAGGAAGAGGACTTCGCAAGTGGATTCTGAAGCTTTCACAGAATTACAAAAGACCAAGAATAGCTTAGACATTCTTAAAAGTGTTAGATAAGCAGTCTTACTCGGATATCAGGCTTATTGCAAGGCTACATATTCAAGACATCACAATTTTGTAGCAGAAACAAATTGACCAAAGGAACAAGGTACATAGGCAAGAAACAGACTTGGCCTTAATGGACACTTGAGTAATGATAAAAATGGCACTACAGAGCTGTTTTTTCAGTAAACTGTGCTGGGTTAATTACATACCCATGTGAAAAAAAATGAAATAGGATCTCTAACTCACATGATCAACAAAAGTCAATTTCAGGAGGTCTGGATAATAAAACGTAAACAGCAAAATAATGAGTTCTTAAAGATGATACAGAATATCTTAGGCCAGGCATAGTGGCCCGCACCTGTAATTCCAGCACTTTGGGAGGCCGAGGCAGGCGAATTGCTTGAGTCCAAGAGTTTGACACCAGCTTGGGCAAAGCAATGAAACCCCATCTCTAGAAAAAATACAAAAATTCGCTGGGTGTGGTGGCACACGCCTGTAGTGCCTCTATTTGGGAGGCTGAGATGGAAGGACTGCTTAAACCTGGGAGGTTGAGGCCGCAGTGACTCTGATCGTGCCACTATAATCCAGCCTGTGTGACAGTGCGAGACCCTGTCTCAAAAAAACAAAAAACAAAAACCAGAATATCTTCATGACATCAAGGAAGAAATAGATACCTTAACCCTGACAGAACACATATTAATTATAAAGGAAAAGACACAAATTTTACTAAGTTAAAATTTTTTTTCTTTTTTTTGAGACAGATACTTACTGTCACCCAGGCTGGAGTACAGTGGCACCATCTCGGCTCACTGCAACCTCTGCCTCCCGGGTTCAAGTGATTCTCCCGTTTCAGCCTCCCAAGTAGCTGGGATTATATGTGACACCACAACTGGCTGATTTTTTTTATTTTTTTATTTTTTTGAGACGGAGTTTCACTCTTGTTGCCCAGGCTGGAGTGCAATGAAGCGATCTCAGCTCACCACAACCTCCGCCCCCCAGGTTCAAGCCATTCTCCCGCCTCAGCCTCCCGAGTAGCTAGGACTACAGGCACGCACCACCACGTCCAGCTAATTTTGTATTTTTATTAGAGATGGGGTCTCTCCATGTTGGTCAGGCTGGTCTCAAACTACCGACCTCAGGTGATCTTCCTGCCTTGGCCTCCAAAGTGCTGGGATTACAGGCATGAGTCACTGTGCCCGGTCTGATTTTTAAATTTTTAGTAGAGATAGGGTTTCGCCATGTTGGTCAGGCTGGTCTTGAACTCCTGACCTCAAATGATCTGCCTGCCTCGGCCTCCCAAAGTGCTAAGACTACAGGGGTTGAGCCACTGTGCCTGTTTTTTTTTGTTTTTTTTTTCTTTCTGTTTTGGAGAGAGTTTAACTCTGTTGCCCAGGCTGGAGTGCAGGGGTGCCATCTCAGCTCACTCTAACCCCTACCTCACAGGTTCAAGCAATTCTCCTGCCTCAGCCTCCCAAGTAGCTGGGACTACGGGCACACACCACCACACCCCGCTAATTTTTGTATTATTAGTAGAGACGAGGTTTTGCCATGTTGGTCAGTCTTGTCTCTAACTCCTGACCTCAAGTGATCCACCCTCCTCAGCCTCTCAAAATGCTGGAATTCCAGGTGTAAGCCACAGCACCCGGCCTAAAATTTAAAACATCTTAATTCATCAAATGATGAAGTGAGCAGAGGGAGAAGATACTTATCACACATAAAACACACAAAAGATTCATATTCAAAAACAGAAAACCTCCTATATATTAGTACAAATACTCAATATACAACTCATTAGAAAAACAGAAATAAGACTTGAATATGAACTTCAAGAAGAGAAAATCTAGATACCCAATAAACACATAAAAAGGTACTAAGCCCCAGCACTTTGGGAGGCCGAGGTGGGCGGATCATGAGGTCAGGAGTTCAAGATGAGCCTGGCCAACATGGTGAAACCCCACCTCTACTAACAATACAAATATTAGCTGGACGTGGTGGTGCATGCCTGTAGTCCCAGCTACTTGGGAGGCTGAGGCAGGAGAATTGCTTGAACCAGGGAGGCAGAGGTTGCAGTGAGCCGAGATCACACCACTGTACTCCAGCCTGGGTGACAAGAGTGTCATCTCAAAAAATAAAAAAAAAGAATAAGGCCGGGCGCGGTGGCTCAAGCCTGTAATCCTAGCACTTTGGGAGGCCGAGGCGGGTGGATCACGAGGTCAGGAGAATCGAGGACTAATCCTGGCTAACATCGGTGACCAAGCCCGGCGTCTCATACTACAAATACCAAAAAACTACAAGCCGGGAGCGTCGATGGGCGGCGCCTGTAGTCCAGCTACTTGGGAGCAGAGGCGGGAGAATGGCGTGAACCCGGGAGGGCGGGAGGCCTTGCAGTGAACCGAGATCACTGCCCACTGCTACTCCAGCCTGGGTGGGCAGAGCGAGACTCCGTGCTCAAAAAAAAAAAAAAAAAAAAAAAAAAAAGAATAAACAGAAACCTAATAAAACTCTAACAAGTAAAAAAATTAAATGAGTAATTAAAATTTTTCCTACAAAGAGGCCAGGCTTGGTAGCTCACACTCGTAATCCCAGCATTTTGGGAGGCTGAGGCAGCAAGATTGCTTGAGCCCAGGAGTTAGAAACTGCACTGAGCTGTGATCAAGCCACTGTACTCCAGCCCATGCAACAGAGCAAGATCCCGTCTCTAAAATAAATAAATACTTTTTCCTACAAAAAAAAAAAAGCACAGACAGTTTCAGTGATGAATTCTATCAAATATTTTAAAAGAAATAATAGGCTGAGCACTATGGCTCAACACCTGTAATCCCAGCACTTTGGGAGGCAGAGGTGGGCCAATAACCTGAGGTCAGGAGTTCGAGACCAGCTTGGCCAACATGATGGAGAATTGCTTGAACTGCAGTGAGCCAAGACTGTACCACTGCACTCCAGCCTGGGCAACAGAGCAAGACTCCAACTCAAAAATAAATAAATAAATATCATAATAATGCTCTACAAACTCTTCCAGAAAAGAGTAACACTTCTAAATTCATTGAGACCAGTATCACCATCATACCAAAGACAAAGATATCACCACAAAGAAAAAAAAGGACCAATAGACCTCATGACTATGGACATAAAAATCCCCAAAAAATAGTAGCAAACCAAATCCAACAACATATAAAAACCACTCTGATGGTTAATATAAGTGTCAACTTGACTAAATTGAGGGATGCAAAGTATTGTTTCTGGGTGTATCTGGGTGCTGCCAAAAGAGATTAACATTTGAGTCAGTGGACTAGAGAGAAAGACCCACCCACAATGTGGGTAGGTACCATCCAATGGCTGCCAGCACCGCTAGGAAAAGCAGGCGGAAAGTAGGATAAGCTGACTTGCTAAGTCTTCTGGCCTGCATCTTTCTCCCATGCTGGATGTTTCCTGCCCTCAAACATCAGACTCCAAGTTCTTTGGCTGTTGGGTTCTTGGACTTACCCCAGTGGTCTACCAGGGGCTCACAAGCCTTTGGCCACAGATTGAAGGCTGCACTGTTGGCTTCCCTGCTTTTGAGGTTTTGGGACTCAGACTGAGCCACTACTGGCTTCCTTGCTCCTCAACTTGCAGACTGCCCATCATGGCACTTCACCTTGTGATTGTGTGAGTCAATTCTCCTTAATAAACTCCCTTTCACATATACATATATCCTACTCATTCTGTCCCTCTAGAGGACCCTGACTAATACAACTATATGCCATATAAACACTATAACCAACTGGGATTTATCCCAGGAATGCAAGGCTGGTTTAACATTCAAAAATCAATTTATGTAATGCATCCTATTAATAGAAAAAAGAACAAAAACCACATGATTATCTCAATAAATGTACAAAAACCATGTGACAAAATCCAGTAACATTAATGATAAAACCTATGAAAGGTCACAAGAAAATAGATGACATACTAAAAATAGGATAATTTGAAGATGCTATATTCATAAACTTGTGGGTGTAGAGGAACCACAAGGAACAGTGTAGGAACCTGAAGCTAGTAGAAGCTAAGGTGGTACTACCTCCAGGCCCAAAGAGATGAGGGGAGGGAACAATTACCAAAACCCAGAAAGGGACAGTTATACAGAGTCTGCCACAATATAAGGTGCCGAGAGCTTCAGTGGAGAGATATAGCCAACTGAAGGTAAAAGTCTGAAACCTACCATGATCAAAAGCAGAAGACACGAGAGCCAGCCAACCTTGATGATGTAACTTGAAAGCTCAGGAGAGTAATACTTTTGCTCAGAATCAAATTTTATTGATTGATCTTTCCATGCACTCAGAATGTTTTTTGACTGTAACATAATGTGCAAAATGTGTATTCTCTTACAGATGAAAAACTCAAAATATCAATGATAAAAAAAACTTACCCATAGTTACTACCTCACTCATAATTTATAATTTTTTCATACACAAAATGTTTACAGTTTTATATGAACCATAATTCCAGTTATATTTTTTTCTCAAGTCCCATCACTCACCTGGAATCAACCTTCTTCTCCATCCTCTGCTTAATCACTTTTTGATGGAAATTGTGGCTTGATACACACTTCACAGTGAGCAGATTCTTCTTGAATCAAAGTATTTTATCTTCCCCTTCTAACTACAAAAAAAAGGGGAATAAAAGAGAGAGAAAATTATTTGCAGCTTCTCAGGAGCCACACTTCTGAACAGCTACATGCCAGCTCCTAGTCTCCTGCCCTCCTTAATTCAACACTAGATGAACATGGGCTAGGTCTCTGACTGAAAATACTATATTTAAATTACATTTTTTTAAACATTTTTTGAGACAAAGTCTTGCTCTATCACCCAGGCTGGAATGCAGAGGCACGATCTCTGCTCACTGCAACCGCCACCTCCTGGGCTCAAGCGATTCTCCTGCCTCAACCTCTCAAGTAGCTGGGATTACAGGCACCTGCCACCACACCCGGCTGATTTTTGCATTTTCAGTAGAGACAGGATTCCACCATGTTGGCCAGGCTGGTCTCAAAATTCCTGACCTCAAGTGATCCACCCGCCTTGGCCTCCCAAAGTGCTAAAATTACAGTGGTGAGCCACCACACCCAGCCTCACTGTGGCTTTGATTTGCATTTCTCTAATGATGAGTGATATTGAGCTTTTTTTCATGTTTGTTCATCGTATGTATGTCTTCTTTTGAAAAGTGTCTGTTCATGTCCTTTGCCCACTTCTTAATGGGGTTGTTTTTATCTCATAATGTTGTAAATGCTAGATGTTAGATCTTTTTCAGATGGATAGAGTGCAAAAATTTTCTCCCATTCTGTAGGTTGTCTGTTTACTCTGATGATAGTTTCTTTTGCTATGCAGACGTGCTTTAGTTTAATTAGAAATTAAACTAAATTTGTCAATTTTTGATTCTGTTGCAATTGCTTCTGGCATCTTCGTCATGAAATCTTTGCCTGCGCCTATGTCTTGAATGGTATTGCCTAGGTTTTCTTCTAGGGTTTGTATAGTTTTGGGTTTTAAGTTTAAGTCTTTAATCCATCTTGCGTTGGTTTTTGTATATGGCGTAAGGAAGGGGTCCAGTTTCTGTATTTGCATATGGCTAACCAGTTCTCCCAGCACCTATTACTAAATAGGGACTCCTTTCCCCATTGCTGGTTTTGGTCAGATCTGTCAAAGATCAGATGGTTGTAGGTGTGCGGTCTTATTTCTGGGTTCTCTATTAGGTTCCATAAGTCTATGTTTCTGTTTTTGCACCAGTACCATTCTCTTTTTGTTACTGTAACGTTGTAGTACAGCTTGAAGTTGGATAGCGTGATGCCTGCAGCTTTATTCTTTTTGCTTAGGATTGTCCTGGCTATTCATGCTCTTTTTTTGTTCCATATGAATTTTAAAGTAGTTTTTTCTAATTCTGTGAAGAATGTCAATGGTAATTAACGGTAATAGCATTGAATCTGTAAATTGCTTTGGGCAGTATAGCCATTTTCATGATATTGATTTTTGCTATCCATGAGCATGGAATGTTTTTCCATTTGTTTGTGTCACCTCTGATTTCTTTGAGCAGCGGTTTGTAGCTCTACTTGAAGAGGTCTTTCACTTCCCTTGTTAGCTGTATTCCTAGGTATTTTATTATTTTTGTGGCAACTGTGAATAGGAATTCATTCACATTTGGTTCTCTGCTTGCCTGTTGTTGGTGTATAGGAATGTTTGCAATTTTTGCACATTGATCTGTATCCCGAAGCTTTGCTGAGGCTGGTTATCAGTTTAAGAAGCTTTTGGGCTGAGACGATGGGGTTTTCTAGATATAGAATCATGTCATCTGCAAAATGTTATTTTCTAATTAAGGAATCTGAGAGGAGAGCGAGCCACACTCAAAAGGTGTGCCTGCTTCTTTCTTTGTGTCTAGATGCTTCAGCACCTTCAACTTCCCTTCACAAAAACACCAGTAGAGGCCAAGATTTCTTGTTTTTCTTCAGATTAGTTTTTATGGTTATCAGTGTTACCATGTAGAGTTTTCATTTTCTTTCTTTTGTTTTTTTAAAGACAGAATTTCTGGCCAGGCACAGTGGCTCACGCCTGTCATCCCAGCCCTTTGGGAGGCTGAGGCAGGCAGATCACCTGAAGTCAGGAGTTCAAGACCAGCCTGCCCAACATGGGGAAATCCCGTCTTTATTAAAAATACAAAAGTTAGCCAGGCATGGTGGTGGGCACCTGCAAACCCACCTACTCAGGAGGTTGAGGGAGGGGAATCACTTGAACCCGTGAGGCAGAGGTTGCAGTGAACCGAGATTGCGCCACCGCACTGCAGCTTGGGCGACAGAACAAGACTGTCTCAGAAAAAAAAAAAAAAAAAAGACAGGATTTCCCTCTGTCGCCCAGGCTGGAGCACAGCGGTGCAATCACAGCTCACTGCAGCCTCCACCTCCTCAGGCTCCGGTGAGCCTCCCGCCTCAGCTTCCCAAAGGGTTAGGACTGCAGGCATGAGCCACCATGCCTAGCCTTTTTTCTTTCTCACGCTGTCATCCACGGTCTCATGCTATTATCCAGGCTGAAGTACTGTGGCACCATCACGGCTCACTGCAGCCTCAACCTCCCATGCTCAAGCAGTCCTCCCACCACAGTCTCCCAAGTAGCTGGGACCACAGGTATGTGCCACCATGCTCAGCTTATTTTTTATTATTTGTAGAGACAGGGCCTTGCTATATTGCCCAGGCTGGTCTCAAACTCCTGAGCTCAACTGATCTATCCACCTTAACCTCCCAAAGTGCCTTTTTTTGTGTGTAGAGATAGGGTCTCACTCTGTCACTCAGGCTGGAGTGCAGTGGTGTGATCACAGCTGACTGTAATCTCAAACTCCTGGGCTCAAGCAATTCTCCTGTCTCAGTCTCCCATAGCTGGCACTACAGACAGGAACCACTGCACCTTGCCTAGTTTTCATTTTTTCTTTTTCTTTCTTTTTTTTTTTTTTTTTGAGACAGTCTCTCTCTGTTGCCCAGGCTGGAATGCAGAGGTGCAATCTAGGCTCACTGCAACCTCCACTTCCTGGGTTCAATCGATTCTCCTGCTTCAGCCTCCCATGTAGCTGGGATTACAGGCACGCACCACCACAGCGGGCTACTTTTTGTATTTTTAGTAGAGATGAGGTTTCACCAGGCTGGTCTTAAAACTCCTGACCTTAAGTGATTTGCCTGCCTCAGCCTCCCAAAGTTCTGGGATTACAGGCATGAGCCACTGCGCCTGAGCCCATTTCTCATTTTCAATTAGTGATCATTTCTATCAAAAATATTCATTAGGAACTGAATAAATTACGACATAGTTTTTTTGTTTTGCTGTGTTTTTTAGTGCCAGGAATAGTAGTGTTGTGGGTTGAATTGTGTTCCCCAAAAAAGATTTGCTGAGATCCTAACCCCTGCTACCTGTGAATGTGACCTTATTTGAAAACAGGGTCTTTGCAGAAGTAATTAAGATGTAAGTTACGATGAGGTCACGTGGGAGTAGGGTGGGCCCTTAATCCAAAATGATCTGTCTTTCTTAAAAGAGAAGACACAAGGGACAGATACCCTGGGCCTTCAGGGAGAGGATAAGACCTTGATTTCAGACTTCTAGCCTCTAAAACTGTGAAATAATCAACTTCTATTAGTTTTAAGCCACCTGGTTTGCGGTACTTTGTTATAGCAGCCCTAGGAAACTAATACAAGTAGCAAGACAGTAGAGTAAGATTTAAGTAATGGTGGAGGCAAGCTAACAGGGTGAACGTGTCCTATGTTGAGTAATTGTGATGCATTTACCAGATGTTTCATTCTACAAGAATGAAGTCACCCTTATAATCAAGGTCACATATTTCAATGACAATCAGACAAGGAATTAGCCAGTTTATCCATACAAAACGAACAATCCTTACTTACATCAAACCAATGTCCTAGATTTTCTGATACCACACTCCAAGTAACAGAGGTCATCTAAGTGACTATTTCTATAAATAAATCAAATAGAAGGATTCAAATAGTGACTTTTGGTGAAATACTGCTATAATCAATGTGTCTCTGCCTTGGGTTTCTGTCATAATGATTCTGTGGAATGTCCTTCGTGGTCAAGGACCCCCTTTTGTTATACACTCATACCAGCATTCTACCTATTTGTACATGTCTGCCTTCTCCACTAAAATATAAATTCCATGAAAACAGGAATCATATCTGATTTTCTCTCCACTGTATCTCCAGCCTCTAAAACAATGTCTATAACCTCACAGATAAAATACACACATACTGGAAGAACTAGGACACAGGTTTGCTTTCAATAAGGACATGTATGAATATAAACTTGCTTATAAGTTGGAATATACATAATGATAATCAAATACAAAACATGCCCGAGGACGGTGGCGCACGCCTATAATCCCAGAACTTTGGGAGGCTGAGGCAGGTGGATCACCCGAGGTCAGGAGTTTGTGACCAGCCTGACTAACAGGTGAAACCCCATCTCTACTTAAAAAAAAAAACAAGCATGGTGGCGAATGCCTGTAATTCAAGCTACTTTGGAGGCTGCAACAAGAACGCTCGTACCTGGGAGGTGGAGGTTGCAGTGAGCCAAGATTACACCACTGTACTCCAGCCTGGGCAACAAGAACGAAACTCCCTCTCAAAAAAAAAAAAAAAAGTCTAAGAAAAACTAAAATTATGAGGTGTTGACTCCCAGTTAAACATGTAGATTGCCCTTCTAAGGTGATAGTAAAGAATACAAAGGAACAAACCATAAGGTTAAAGAGATGAGAGAAGAGATTATAGGACACCAGGGATTTCCACAGTTTTACAAGGAAAATGAAGTGGCCTAACAGGTTTGAGGAAATGAAAAACTTTGATTTGAGGATACCAAAGGAAAGCGGGCCACACAGATTTCCAATCCTGTCAGACAGGGTATTCAGGTCCCTTCTGCTGTCCTGCTTCCAACATTCTGGTAGCTAGATGGTACCTCTCAGGCAGGAGACTGGAAAAGTCTTCTCAGAAAACACTAAAAACTAACAGATCTCCAGATTCTGAAACATGTGCTTTACTCTCCATCAATGAAAAAGCAGACTTGTCCCTAGATTACCCTAAAGTGAAGCCCATGAACTCCACAGTCCTGCTTAGACACTAGGAGCTTCCAGCTAATTTCTCAGTTACACATTTTTTTTTTTTTTTTGAGACGGAGTCTCACTTTGTTGCCCAGGCTGGAGTGCAGTGGCTCAATCACGGCTCACTGTAACCTCTGCATCCTGGGTTCAAGCGATTCTTCTGTCTCAGCCTCCTGAGTACCATCACACTTGGCTAATTTTTTGTATTTTTGGTAGAGGAGGTTTCACCACGTTGGCCAGACTGGTCTTGAACTCCTGACCTCAAGTGATCTGCCCGCCTCAGCCTCCCAAAGTGCTGTGATTACAGGCATGAACCGCTTCCCCTGGCCAGCTTACAACTTTTCTTCTGCAGCTTCCTCATCTCTCCCAGTCCTCACAGAATTGAAGAGAATTAGGGTCTTGCTCAAAATTAGGTTTTGGTTTAAGAAAACATTGTGGCTAGTTTGATCTGCTATCCAGACTACTAAAAGTTTCTCCATATCAGCAATAAGGCTGTTTAGCTTTCTTATCCCTGGTGTGTTCCCTGGAGTAGCACTTTTAATTTGCTTCAACAACTTTTTCTTTGTATTCACAACTCGGCTGTTCGGTACAAGAGGCCTAGCTTTCATGTTATTTCAGCTTTTGATGTGCCTCCTTCACTAAGCTTAGTCATTTCGAGCTTTTGATATAAAGTGAGACATGAAACCCTTCCTTTCACTTGAACACTTAGGGTTCACTGTGGGGCTATTAATTGGCCTAATTTCAACATTGTTGCCTCTCAGGCTACAAGGAGGACCGAGAGGGAGAAGAGAAACAGGGAACTGGCAGGTAGGTGGGGCAGTCAGACACAACACTTAAGTTTACTGTTTTATACCAGTGAGGTTCATGGTGACCTAAAACAATTGCAATAATAACATCAAAGATCACTGATCACAGATCACTGTAACGGTATACCTGAAATAAAGTTTGAAATATAGCGATAGTTACCAAAGTGTCAGTGATAGGAAGTGGGCACATGCTGTTGAAAAACTAGTTGTTCGGTGCAGGACTACTTGCTACAAACTTTCAATTTGTAAAAAACACAATACCTATTAAGTTCAATAAAGCAAGGTATGGCTGTACTCAAGTCCCTAGCATCATTCATTCAACAAATATTTACAACACATCTACACAGCACTTAGGAAACCTGAACAGCCTCCCATAAAATAAAAACATGCACCCACCTCCCACGCGGGGAAGGCTTCAAGGTTTGTTTACTGTGTTACCCCCTGCGGGCTCGGTGGGGGAAGGTCGCCCATACACCAGCCCTTCCGCTCTCCTGGGCCACTTAGCCGGGAGAAGGAAACCCCTCATTTGGATCCGCGTACGCTAAGAAGCATTGCGTAGACTCGAGCACCGGCCAGGAGCGCACTAGACGCCTGGGAGGATGCGGTGCCCCCGGGGCGCAGGACAAGAAGCCGAGGAGACGCGGTGGGAGAAGATAGCGGGAGAGGATGGCAGGCTCCGGGCCCCGTCCTGCGCCCTCTTGTCGCACTTCCTCCATTCCCGCACCACAGACCCGCAGGTAGGCAACATCACCTGCACTTTTAGGGGAGGAAGCGGAGGCTCGCACAGATTTCACCGGACTCGGAGGGACCCGACTGAGCTCCCTGCCGGAGAGGCCGAGCCCATAAGAGGGTGGGGACGTTAGGATCGGGCCTCGTACCTGGGGAAGCCGAGCCATCGGGCCTGACGCTGGGAGAAAACCCGGCGGGAGAGGGCGGTCCGGGACCTGCTTCGTAACTCCCGCGCGGCCCACGCCAGCCTCAGCGCTTCGCGCGCCTCTAGACGCCAGTCTCGCGCCGGGCCCGCCCTTGTCTCCACGGCGACGCGGCGCGCACGAGGACCACCCCACCCAGACCCCCGGGCTTGCGCAGCCTCAGTCGGGCGGGTGGCGCACGACCGGTCGCTTTTGCAGCAGCAGCAATGAGAGTCGGTTCCGAGGGGCGTGGGGAATGCACCGTCTGGGCATTCCCACTGAGAGTCTTTGGCTCGCTAGCTTCGCTCTGAGCTCAGGTTGCTACTGCTCCTCTTAGACGAGAGAAGTGGAGGCATTCCGAGGCGGAACCCCGAGTTAACACCGCCCGGGGTCGAGCACTAAGGATGAGGTTCCAGCTGGGAGGTGGCTGCGAACGAAAGTCTTCCTTCCCTCACTTCCGGGCTCGTGCGTGAGCCTCTTTGGCTTTTGGTTCGCGGGGAGTGGAAACCGGAACCCGTGGAGTATGACCCGCCCATGCGTGTACCCGGCAGATTGCTACAATTTGCAGTTGGAGGGGAGAAGTCCCATGGCCCCCGAATTAGAAATCCCAGGCTTATCTCTTTTTTTAACCCTTCATTTGAAAATGTAATTAATAGGCCGGGCACGGTGGCTCAAGCCTGTAATCCCAGCACTTTGGGAGGCCGAGACGGGCGGATCACGAGGTCAGGAGATCGAGACCATCCTGGCGAACACGGTGAAACCCCGTCTCTACTAAAAAATACAAAAAACTAGCCGGGCGAGGCGGCGGGCGCCTGTAGTCCCAGCTACTCGGGAGGCTGAGGCAGGAGAATGGCGTAAACCCGGGGGGCGGAGCTTGCAGTGAGCTGAGATCCAGCCACTGCACTCCAGCCCGGGCGACAGAGCCAGACTCCGTCTCAAAAAAAAAAAAAAAAGAAAATGTAATTAATAAGCACTCCTTTTTGTTAAATTTTTTAATTTGGGCTGATCCTAATAAAAATAGGAGTGGGAGGGGTAAGTGGGACTTTTGAAATACTTTTTTACTGTGCTTTGTAAAACGTTTGAAAGCACGTGAGATTACTGGTGCAGACACTAAAAGCGGTAGTTACTTAAATACTTGAAAGATTTTACGCTAAAAACATGAGGAAAATTAACTTGTTGGGTGTCTCGGGGTTAGAATCACAGATAATTTGTATTTTTGCCCTATTTTCTACATGCTAATTTTTGCAATTAAAACATTTATTATTTATTTATCTATTTATTTTGAGGAGACACCCTCTGTCGCCCAGGCTGCAGTGCAGTGGCATGATCTGGGCTTACTTCCACCTTCACCTCCCGGGTTCAAGCGTTTCTCCTGCCTCAGCCTCCCAGGCGCAGGCCACCACGCCCGGCTAATTTTTTTTTTTTTAAGAGAGACGGGTTTCACCATGTTGGCCAGGTGAGTCTCGAACTCCTGACCTCAAGTGATCCGTCCGCTTCAGCCTCCCAAAGTGCTGGGATTACAGGCGTGAGCTACCGCACCTGGCCCTGAGGCGGATCACTTGAGGTCAGGAGTTGGAGACCAGCTTGGCCAACATGGTGAAACCCCGTCTCTACTAAAAATACATTAAAAAAAAAATTAGCTGGCCGTGGTAGTCCCAGCTACTGGGGAGGCTTAGGCAGGAGAATCGCTTGAACTCAGGAGGCAGAGGTTGCAGTGGGCTGCGATCGTGCCATTGTACTCCAGCCTGGGCAACAAGAGCAAAACTCTGTCTCAAAAACAAACGGCCGGGCGCGGTGGCTCAAGCTTGTAATCCCAGCACTTTGGGAGGCTGAGACGGGCGGATCACGAGGTCAGGAGATCAAGACCATCCTGGTTAATACGGTGAAACCCCGTCTCTACTAAAAAGTACAAAAAACTAGCCAGGTGAGGTGACGGGCGCCTGTAGTCCCAGCTACTTGGGAGGCTGAGGCAGGAGAATGGCGTGAACCCGGGAGGCGGAGCTTGCAGTGAGCTGAAATCTGGCCACTGCACTCCAGCCTGGGCGACAGAGCGAGACTCCGTCTCAAAAAATAAAAACAAAAAAACAAAAACAAACAAACATATTTTAAAAGGACTTCTACTTTCTCGGACATCAATGCCAGTGTTTTAGGGACAACTTTCATCTGAAGTTAATGTGGCCAAGTAGTTTTAAAATAAGTTAGTAAGCTTCAAGGTTGTAATTAACAGTATAACTAACATATTCACTGTAATGTAGCCTAAGTACTTATATAATTATGTAGATTTATATAAATTACATATTTAGGATAAGTCAATAAGCATTCTTTCTAGATGATTTGAGCTAATTTCCTAATGCTTTCTTCCTGTCATAGGCATTTACCATCCTCAGCTTTCACAAATTTAGGAGGGATGAAAGGCATTTCCATTTTGAGTTACAATGAAAATAATTAGTCTTGTCAGGAAAGATTAGAAGATAACAGTATATAATAATAGCTAGGACAAGGACACCTTAGAGGCTGGGCACGGTGGCTCACACCTGTAATCTGAGCATTTTGGAATGCTGAGCCAGGAGAATTGCCTGAGCCCAGTAGCTCAAGACCAGCCTGCGCAACAGAGTGAGACCCCCCCCCGCCACAATCTCTACAAAATATAAAAAATTTGACCAGACGCGGTGGCTCACGCCTGTAATCCCAGGACTTTGAGAGGCCAAGGTGGGTGATCACTTGAGGTCAGGAGTTTGAGACCAGCCTGGCCGACGTGGTGAAACCCCATCTCTACTACTAAAAATACAAAAAGTAGCCAGGCGTGGAGGCACGACCCTGTAATCCCAGCTACTCGGGAGGTTGGGGCAGAAGAATCACTTGAACCTGGCGGGGACGGTTGCAGTGAGCCAAGATCCCGCCACTGCACTCCAGCCTGGGTGACAGAACAAGACTCTGTCTCGAAACAAACAGAAAAACTAAGGGTTACCCTTGGAGCAAGAAAAACTGAATATAGGAAAAAGCCCATTTAGAGAAGTGCAATCCAGCCTGCTGTGATGAGGCTGCTGAAAGGTCATGGCCTGGCATTAAGCTCTCTCACAGGTGCTCTCATGATTTCTGGGTGTCTAGTATTTTCTTCTTTTCTTTTCCTTTTTTCTTTTTCTTTTCTTTTTTTTTTTTTTTTTTGAGACAAGAGTTTCACTTTTGTCCCTCAGGCTGGAGTGCAGTGGCGCGATCTCGGCTCACTGCAACCTCCACCTCCCGGGTTCAAGCGATTCTCCTGTTTCAGCCTCCCAAGTAGCTGGGATTACAGGCATATGCCACCACGCCCAGCTAATTTTGTATTTTTAGTAGAGACGGGGTTTCGTCATGTTGGCCAGGCTGGTATAGAATTCCTGATCTCAAGTGATCCTCCCACCTCAGCCTCCCAAAGTGCTGGGATTATAGGCATGAGCCACCATGCCCAGTCAGTTTCTAGTATTTTCATTTGCTTCTCTGCTGTTCTTGGACTAATTTCCCTGACTGGCTGAACCTTTGAGACCCCTTATGCCAAACTTTGGGCCAACAATTTGGACCTAAACCAAGATCTTACACACACTTAGTAAAGAACTAAGATAATTTCCCTCTCAAAGAGCTTTCCCAAGCTGATATTTGAAAATTGGTTATTAGTTGCAGGAGGGGACATTTAGAATTACAAATTATTGGCCTGGCACGATGGCTCACACCTGTAATCCCAGCACTTTGGGAGGCCGAGGTGCGGGAATCACATGAGGTCAGGAGTTAAGACCAGCCCGGCCAACATGGGGAAACCCCATCTCTACTAAAAATACAAAAGGGCCGGGCGCGGTGGCTCAAGCCTGTAATCCCAGCACTTTGGGAGGCCGAGGCGGGTGGATCACGAGGTCAGGAGATCGAGACCATCCTGGCTAACACCGTGAAACCCCGTCTCTACTAAAAATACAAAAAACTAGCCGGGCGCGGTGGCGGGCGCCTGTAGTCCCAGCTACTCGGAGGCTGAGGCAGGAGAATGGCGTAAACCCGGGAGGCGGAGCTTGCAGTGAGCCGAGATCGCGCCACTGCACTCCAGCCTGGGTGACACAGCGAGACTCCGTCTCAAAAAAAAAAATAATAAAATAAAAATAATAAAAAATAAAAAAAATAAAAAATAAAAATACAAAAGTTAGCTGGGTGTGGTGGCACAGGCCTGTGGTCCCAGCTTCTTGGGAGGCTGAGGCATGAGAATTCCTTGAACTCAGGAGGCGGAGGTTGAGTGAGCCGAGATTGTGCCACTGCACTCTAGCCTGGGGGACAGAGCAAAACTCGGTCTCAAAAAATTACAAATTACAGACTGGGTGCGGTGGCTCACGCCTGTAATCACAGCACTTTGGGAGACCGAGGCAGGCAGATCACGAAGTCAGGAAATCGAGACCATCCTGGCTAACGCGGTGAAACCCTGGCTCTACTAAAAATACAAAAAAATTAGCCGGGCGTGGTGGCGGGCACCTGTAGTTCCAGCTACTTGGGAGGCTGAGGCAGGAGAATGGCCTGAGCCCCGGAGGCAGAGCTTTCTGTGAGCCAAGATTGCGCCACTGCATTCCAGCCTGGATGACAGAGCGAGGCTCCCTCTAAAAAAATAAAAAAATAAAAGAAAATACAAAGTATCAGGCCGGGCATGGTGGCTCATGCCTGTAATCCCAGCACTTTGGGAGGCTGAGGTGGGTGTATCACGAGGTCAGGAGTTTGAGACCAGCCTGACCAACATGGTGAAACTCTGTCTCTACTAAAATACAAAAATTAGCTGGGCGTGGTGGCACGCGCCTGTAATCCCAGTTACTCAGGAGGCGGAGGCAGGAGAATCTCTTGAACCTGGAAGGCAGAGGTTGCAGTGAGCCGAGATCACGCCATTGCACTCCAGCCTGGGCAATGCAGCGAGACTCCTTCTCAAATAAATAAATAAATAAATAATCCTGCCAAGGAGAGTAACATTCAAAAGCTACAATAAAACAAGAATTTGCAAGCATCTAGCTTTTGCCAGGCACAGGTGAAAGTTGTTTATGGAAGCCTCCCTTAGATTATTACCTTTCTTCCTAGGTAACAAGTGAGACTTTGAGAGGTAAGAAATGAGTTGAGGCCAAGGTTCTACAAGACATTAAAGGAGCCTAGTGGGAAAAAAGTAGGTCCTAAGTAGGATAGACCAGAGGGCTCAGGATATTAGTTCCAGCTATCAAATCATGACAGCTGCAATGCCCTGGGCACTGATTTCATGTATGGCTTGTGGTAGTTTAAAACATGCCTACACATTCCTTGACATTCCTCCCATATAGAGGTGGAGTCTAAGTTCCTTTGCCTTGAATATAGGGTAGCCGTGCTGACTCTAAGGAACAGAATGTGGCACGTGGCAGAACTGATTCCAAGGCTAGGTTAGGAAAGGCAATACAGCAACTATCATCTGGCTTTCTTATTCATTCTCTGAACACTTGCCCTTAGAATCCAGTCATCATGTTTCAAGGAAGCTCAGGCCACAGGGAGAGGCCATGTCTAAGTGTTCCAGGGACAGCTCTAGTGGTCCCAGGTCTTAGGTGACAGCCACCATCAACCACCAGACATGTAAGCTTTTAGGGGACCCTAGGCCCCATCCTTTGGGCTGCCCCCACTGGTGCTGAATGGATCAGAAACCAGCTGGCCCAGCGGGAACCAGCCCATTTTGCAGATTTGAGAGCAAAATATAAATAATTCGTTTTAAGTCACTGAATTCTGGGGTGGTTTGTTACACAATAGTAGGTAACCAGAAACCCGTAATTTCTGGATTTCTAGTATTTTCTTTTTCAAGAAAGGTCAGGTCCGGTGGCTCATGCCTGTAATCCCAGTGCTTTTGGAGGCTGAGGCAGGAGGATTGCTTGAGGCCAGGAATTTGAGACCAGCCTGAGCAACACAGCAAGATCCCGTCTCTGCAAAAAATCGTTAAAAATTAGCTGGGTGTAGTGGCAGGAGCCTGTAGTTCCGGCTACTTGGGAGGCTGAGGCTGGAGCAGTGAGCTATGATTGTGCTATTGCTTTCCAGTCTGGACGACAGAGCAAGACTCCATTTCCCCCTAAAATAAAATAACCAGAGCAGTGGTTTTAATGTTCTCTTTAATTCCCTCTACAAGCCTGAAAAGTAGGTATACTGCGATCCCTTTCTGAAAAATGAGGAAAGGGAGATCCAGGTGGTGAAATGCCTGGCTCAGGTTTCACACTAATTGGCAGGGTCAGGATTTAGCAGCTTCAAAGAAAGCGCCTTCTCCACTACTCCAGGGAGTCTCTAGGACACTAAAGGGGATTAGACCTGTTTCCCACAGCTTTAGGAAGAATTCGGATTCCAAAAACAGCTTGATTTTTAAAATCATAAAAACACCTGCTGTATTATCACCTACAACGTATCTCTGTATAGGCTTAAAAAGGCTCAGCAGCTTTATGGGTTATATAAGGCTTTTTACCCACCTTACTCTGTTTAATCTTAACTGCCCCATGAGCAGGTTATATCATCTTCCCCATTTCACAGGTAAAACTAAGGAGAGATGGAAAGACTAACTCTCCATAGCCTGTAGGAGGTGGCAGAGATGAGAGTGCAAACTCGGGCCTGACTGGCATGTGTTTCCCTCTGCCTCTTGCCTGCAAAAAAAATAGTTGGTAAGAAACACACTTTATTCAGTAATACAAACGAAAAGAAAAAGGTTTTCTGTTGCCAAGATTCACAAGGGAGCGGAGTGAGTGGTCACTCACTGCTTAACACTCTAATTTCACAAGTGAAGAAAGTGAAGTTCCAACAAAATAGGCCTCTTGGAAGAAATGTAGACGTCGCTGTCCTTTAACGAGGAAAATTGCGTTCTCCTTCGCGCCTATGTATCCCTTCACACCAACGCTGCGAGTACCACAGGGCAGAAATGGGTGCTTGTGGTATTCCTGCACATAGGACCTCCTCCCCAGGACGGCAGTTACCCGCACTGCTCACATATTTGCATTTCTGTGGCCCCCTGTCAGCCGACTCTGCAATACGTGGTAAGCGCTTGACATTCGCCGTCTCATTTCCCCAACTCCACTCGCACTTCCCCTTTCCGTGCAGGCGAAGGACAGATTCAGGTTACGGGAGGGAAAGAACATTTCAATGAATGTCAGTCGCCTTTATCTCTATCAAAGCCAGTCGTGACAAGTTTGTCTATTAATGCAGCAACCAGTACTGTCGCATAAGCCTCATAGATTTACAGAGAGGCCATTTTAGAAACACGACCGAAACTTAGCGAAGTCAGCTTTGCCCAAGATCACGCCACTCGCACAACAGCTGAGGTTCGAACCCGCACCGGGAAGGCTCGGAGGACCCCAATCTCCTATCTCAAATTCCCCACTGCCGAAGCCCCACGGTTCTCTGCCGATGCGAACCGTGCAAATACACGGGTGGTCACGCCACACGCCGCGCTAGCCGCCAGCCCAGGCCCATCTCGCCGCCGCCTCCCCGGGAGAGTGTCGTGCCGCGAGTCTCGGGTCCCAAGTGCCACCCGCTCTGCCCCGCAGTGCGCGTGGGAACGCGGTGGCGGCGGCCTCGGGGCTGCCCACGGCGACCGCCTGCGCGCACGGGAGCGGGCTTCTGCTGTCCCCGCCGCGGCTTCCTCCTCGCCACCACCGCCTCCCCACCGCCCGGCCCGCGCAGGGGCTGGCGTCCGGGGGGCGTGCGGCGATGCTTCTTTTCCGCCCGGCACCGCTGCAGCCACCTCACATCCGGGCGCGCGGCGGGGAAGGCGGCGCCGGGGCCCGGGTGCGTGGAGGGAGTTATTAAGGGGGAGGGGGCCGAAGAGGAGGGGCGGAGGGCCGGGCTGCAGTTACGGCGGCTGAAGAGAGACAGCCCGAGCGGGTCGGGGTGGGGGCGCGAGAGCGAAGGCTGCGGGGAGCGGCGCTGGGACCGGCGCGGGCGGCTGGGTGGGGAGCGGCGGCCGAAGCAAAGGGCCGCCGAGCGGCGGAGGCACCGAGTAAGGGCCGGCGGCGGTGGCGGCTGGGTCCGGGGCACCGCGCGCCGGTGCTCGCGGGTGTAGAAGGGGCGCGGGCGCATTGCTCCCGGGGTCGCGTGCGTGAGCGCGGGCGCCGGGGCGCCCGCAGAGGGTGAGCAGGAGCGCGAGGCCCGCAAGGCGGCCGGCGGGTAGCCGGCGGGCTGGCTGGGAGGGGACCGAGCCGCCGGGCCGGGGAGGACGGCTACGGGCCTGCGCCAGCTCCAGCTCGAAGCGCCCGGGCCGGGAGATTCGGCCTCCCTGCTCCCTGCGGCCGGCCGCCCCTCAGTGAGTACCGTCCCCGCCCTTCCTCCGAAGGAGGCCGCTGGGCCCGGGCCTGCGTGAGGGGCTGCGAGTTGGGGTCGCGGCCCGGGGAAGCCAAGTTTCGGAGCTGAAGCCGGTGCTCGCTCTTTCCTTGCCATCGGCGCCCCTGACATGGCCACAGGTGCGGCTGGCCGGGCGAGGGGCGCTCGGGCCCCGTCCCCAGTCCCTGATCCCCGGATAACAAGGGGCAGCTGGCGCCGTCCATTGGCAAGTGACAGGCACTTTACAACAGACTTCGCGGGTTCTCAGCGCAACCAGTCTTCTGCCTGCCCCCAGTCCGGGAAACTTCCCCACCAGTCTTGAAAGATCCCCCTGGGTGGCAGCTCCTAATCTTGGTTTCTCTTTGTATTAAAGCTTCTTAAAGGTTATATACCTTGAGTTGGGCACCTTCTGCTTTTTACCATGTTGATGCTTAGGATACTAGGAGAGATAACTGAGTACCAACGATTCTATCTCCGAGTTCTAATTTATAGCATAATTTTGGGGTGGGGACTTATTTTTAACATGAGCTGTTTTAAGAGGTTAAAACGTTTCAGCCTCTGAAGAAACAGCCAAGATTTCTGAAAACTTACTGTTCTTGGTGACAATTTTGTGCCGATTTATCTTCCAGGTGCAGAGCATTGTAGACCAAGGAGCCATGGATAGGAGAAGTGTGGGTGAAACAGAAAATGGAGATGCTTTCCTTGACCTGAAGAAGCCACCTGCCTCCAAATGCCCCCATCGCTATACAAAAGTAGGGTTTGCCACTAATGAAATAGTGTTTCTTTTTAGGTGGGGAAGTTAGTAACATTGTATAACCATTTAATTCCTATTAAGTGGTAATCTCACTGTGACTCACTACATGGACTAAATATTAACTAAATTTAGTAGAGCATTACTTTGAACATTTTTCTGCAAGTGCAGATACCCAGAGTTTAAGCTGGAATTTGCTTTGAGAGGTTTTTAGGTGAAGGGAATGTAGGTTTAGATTTTTTTTAAATTGCAGATCCGTATACTTTGTAAGTTCTGTAACAGCTATGTAATTGGTATATTATTGATTTACATACTGTACTCTGAGGATTAAAGCTCTAGGATGCGCCACAAAATTAGTGTCCTCTGTATTGATGTTTCCTTAAGAGGCAGATTCCTCATAGGAATGCTCTTGAGTGTGCTTGGTGGGGTAACTGGATTTTTCAATCCTATTTTTTTACTGTCTATTACAAATTGGATATGGACTCAAAAAAGTAAGGCTTCAGTCATATTTCCCCTCGCTGAAAACTGGAGATGTTTAAACTGCTTGTCCAGATGACTGCTTTTGGGGGGGAGAGGAAGTCATATTTATTAAAGATCTTGCTTCAGTACATGTCTTGTTGGCTACTGAATGTTTCTGAAGAGGTTGACAGGACTCGAATTGTAAATTCATTTCTCGGTCCCTAAAATGTATCAGGCTGGTTCCCATAAAACTTGTTTAACAGTGTTGAAGCAGTTGGGACATTGACGACAAGAACGGTTATATCCTAATTGGGCCCACATCCATATATCCTTAGTATGGACTTTTTAAAAAATTATTTTATTTTATTTATTTATTTATTTTGCACGCGACAGGGCCTCATTCTGTCGCCCAGGCTGGAGTGCAGTGGTGCGATCATGGCTCACTGCAGCCTGGACCTCCTGGGCTCAAGCCATCCTCCCGTCTCAGTCTCCTGAGTAGCTGGGACCACAGGCGTACACCACTACGCTCGGCTAGTTTTTGTATTTTTTATAGAGATGGGAATTCGCCATGTTGCCCAGGCAAACTCCTGGGCTCAAGCAATCCGCCCATCTTGGCCTTCCAAAGTGTTGGGATTACAGGGGTGAGCCACTGTGCCAGGTCTCAGTCATGGCTCTAACATGGCTAATTGTCCCTGGCTTCCTGGAATACTGACTGGTTAATGCTTTAAAGCCAGCCCTTGTTTATGTACTGGTGCACTACTCTTACCTACTTGATAAAGTATCAAATGCTGTCAGCTTAATATTCATTTTCAGCACTGAAGAAAACTGCTGTAAGAGAAATGTTTTCAGGTGTAAAGCGTTCTTGGTTGATTGCTGTCTTAGGATGGTCTGTTTTGGCATGACAGCATGTGAGCTGATAGAAAACTTTTTCCACATTCAGATTTGGTCTTCCCAAATATATTTCTCTCAAACCTGAGAGTGTTTAGAGTAGTGTTTCACAACTTAGATTCATTTCCTGAAATGGTGACAGGTGAATTCTGAATGGAGAAAAGCCATCAAATGAAGTGAAATGGAAATCTTCCAGTACTTATTTTTTTATTTTTGTTTTTATTTTTTGAGACGGAGTTTCGCTCTTGTTGCCCAGGCTGGAGTGCAGTGGCACAATCTCGGATCACCACAACCTCCCCCTCCTAGGTTCAAGCGATTCTCCTGCCTCACCCTCCCGAGTAGCTGGGACTACAGGCATGCGCCACCATGCCCAGCTAATTTTTGTAGTTTTAGTAGAGACGAGATCTCGCCATGTTGGCCAGGCTCATCTCAAAATCCTGACCTCAAGTGATTCACCTGCACCAGCCTCCCAAAGTGCTGGGATTACAGGTGTGAGCCACTGTGCCCAGCCCCCTTCCAGTACTTTTTGTTTTTTTGTGTTTTTTTTTGAGCCGCAGTCTTGCTCTGTCGCCCAGACTGGAGTGTAGTGGCGTGATCTTGGCTCACTGCAACCTCTGCCTCCCTGGTTCAAGTGATTCTCCTGCCTCAGCCTCCCAAGTAGCTGGGACTACAGGCACACGCTGCCACACCCAGCTAATTTTGTTTTTGTATTTTTATTTATTTATTTATTTTTGAGACGGAGTTTCATTCTTGTCGCCCAGGCTGGAGTGCAGTGGTGCTGTCTCAGCTTACTGCAACCTCCGCCTCTGGGGTTCAAGTGATTCTGCTGCCTCAGCCTCCCAAGTAGCTGGGATTACAGGCATGCGCCACCACGCCCAGCTAATTTTTGTATTTTTAGTGGAGATGGGTTTTTGCCATGTTGGCTGGGCTGGTCTTGAACTCCTGACCTCAAGTGATCCAACTGCCTCAGCCCCCCAAAATGCTGGAATTACAGGTGTGAGCCACTGTGCCTGGCCTATTTTTTTTATTTTTTATTTTTAGTAGGGACGGTTTCACTGTGTTTCTGGTGTCAAACTCCTGAGCTCAGGTGATCACCCACCTCGGCCTCCCAAAGTGCTGTGATTATAGGTGTGAGCCACCGAGCCCGGCCCCTTCCAGTACTTTATTATTATTATTATTATTATTATTACTATTGAGATGGAATTTCGCTCCTGCTGCTCGGGCTGGAGTGCAATGGTGCGATCTCGGCTCACTGCAACCTCCGCCTCCCAGGTTCAAGCGATTCTCCTGCCTCAGCCTCCCGAGTAGCTGGGATTACAGGCATGTACCACCATGCCCGGCTAATTTTGTATTTTTAGTAGAGACGAGGTTTCACCATGTTGGCCAGGCTGGTCTGGAACTCCTGACCTCAGGTGATCCACCTGCCTCGGCCTCCCATAGTGCTGGGATCATAGGTGTGAGCCACCGCACCCAGCCTTTCCAGTACTTTTTGAACTAAAGTTCTAACCGGTTGTCTACTGGTAGAGTCCAGGCAGAGAGGCTTTTGAATCACTTTCACACACTGATCAGAGGTTAACATGTATATTTTGGCCAGGCGCGGTGGCTCATGCCTGTGATCCTAGCACTTTGGGAGGCCGAAGCGGGCGGATCACAAGGTCAGGAGATCGAGACCACGATGAAACCCCGTATCTACTAAAAATACAAAAAATTAGCCGGGCGCAGTAGTGGGTGCCTGTAGTCCCAGCTACTCAGGAGGCTGAGGCAGGAGAATGGCGTGAACCCAGGAGGCGAAGCTTGCAGTGAGCCGAGATCCGCCACTGCACTCCAGCCTGGGGGACAGAGCGAGACTCCGTCTCAAAAAAAAAAAAAAAAAAAAAAAGTATATTTCATGTTTGTGTATGTTTCTATCTTTATGCTTAAGTCATTTTTAGGAAGATAATTTCTCTTTCTTAGGGTAGGACTTATGTTTCTTTGCAGTAAAGATTAAGAACCTCAGTATTGTCCATTTTTGACAGTCCAGCCTCAGAATTCTGTCATACTTAGATAAATGTGCCTTGAAGAACTGGTTAAAAGCATTTTTTAGCTTAATGACAGTGGAGCTTAGATTTAAGTCTTTTCTACCAAATTAATTGGAAATAGGTTTACTTTCTACTCTTAAGAGGATTTAGTTAATGACAATTTTAGGATAGTGTTTAGGCGGTGTTAGGGTAGTACTTTCATGTTTTTCAACACTCTAGTAATTTTATGCAGGACTTGGGGATAACGAAGTCTTCTCCCTTTAAAGAGAGCTTGAAATGATTATATGTTACTAGCACTATAATAAATATGTTAGTTCCACAACTGGAATAATACTCAAACCATCCTTCTTCCTTTTCTATATACTGAGATCAAACTACTGGAATAAATAGACTAATGATGTTTCTGCCACTTCAAGTTCATGGGCTAGATCTGGAAGCAGTAAAGGGAAACTGTTCTCATTGGTGATTTTGAGGTGGAGTTTCGCTCTTGTTGCCCAGGCTGGAGTGCAATGGCGTGATCTTGGCTCACGGCAACCTCCGTCCCCCAGGTTCAACCTATTGTCTTGCCTCACCCTGCTGAGTAGCTGGGATTACAGGCATGTGCCACCACACCCGGCTAATTTTTGTACTTTTAGTAGAGATAGAGTGTCTCCACGTTGGTCAGGTTGGTCTCGAACTCCCGACCTCAGGTGATCCACCCACCTTGGCTTCCCGAAGTGCTAGGATTACAGGTGTGAGCCGGCCGGTGACTTTTTTTTTTTAATAGGTGGTGTATTCTGTGGAAACTTGGAGGTGTGTATGTTTACTTACAGAGTCAAAAAAAGACATTGGCCCCTTAACCTTTGATCCTTCTTAGTTTAGTGTTTAGTTGCTTTCTGGGATAATGTTAGTAGTTTGTTGTTCAGAACTCGAAGAGTTTTTGTTTCTCCCCCATGAGTAGAAGAAGTACAGATGTTTTGGTCAGGTGCTTTTCAGGATAATGTACCAGAGTTTCCTTTTGTGCTAAGACATCTTTAGTTCAGCTTGTTTCTCAAATGTTAATACGCCTGGGGAATCATGTTTAGGCCTTGGGGAAGGAATTCTGAGTGGTAAGGAGGGGTGGTCCTGAAGATTCTGCTTTTTAACCCACTCCCAAGTGGTGCACATGTTGCTGGTCCACTGACTATACTTTGAGTATCAAGGCTTTAGTCTTCCTTAGAGAACTTGATAAATGGTGTTGGTGGTGTCAAGTAACTCAGAGGATGCATAGTTGTTATTTGGGGTTCAGATGATGTTCATTGTGATTCCAAGAATATCTTAGGAACTCAAGTTAGAGTCACATTGGGTGCTTTCAGGCCTACTCCTAAACCTCAGTGTGGGATAGTTCTAAGTGAGTTTATCATATGCACCTGTTACCCTGAGGGTCTGGAGCCCCTAAGTTGTAAATGCTGGTCTGTTTTTTAGGCCAGATTCCTAAGACCAAAAGCTGTATCTTGGTAGTATCTAAGTATGCATTTTTAAAGTGATTGGATCATGTTGAAGGACTTTTGGAGGTTATAGAGTGGGATCTCACCTGAAAGTTGTGGTTTAAAAGTGGTTTAGACAATGGTTCTCAAAGTGTGGTCCCTGAACTAGCATTAGCATCATCTGGTAACTT